AGAGACCATGCTTAACAAGGCGGGGAGGTTTCTAACACTGGTAAGCGTTTTGCTAACTCCGGGCGTCTCCGCGACTGCGCGCTGACCCTTATTTTCCTGTGGCAGGGCCTCCACTAATCGACGGCGCTAATGGACCGAGTGCGCGACGCTGGCCAGGTGGTCTGGGACCTCAGCGAGCGCAACTCCGAGTTGTGTCGTCAGCTAGAGGAGGTTCGGGCTGGATCGGGCCCCGAGGCGGTAGCGGCCGCGTTAAAACGCGCGACCGATGCCGAGGAAGAGGTGGCGCGCCTACGAGCATAGCTCGAGCAGTCGGGCGATTCGGTCAAGGAGCTACAGGAGTTCCTCCGTTTGGATCGGTCCGAGCTCCGCCTGTTGAAGTCAGAGGCGCTTGGTCTCTCCAAGAGGGCGGAGAAGGCCGAGGCTGAAGCCCGCGCTGCTTCCGAGGCGCTGGTCGAGGAGGTTCGCCTCCGCCCATCAAAGGACAAGGAGGCGATCGAAGCCTACAAGAAGTCCGAGAACTTCGAGCTCGGACTGACCCGAATGGGACGAGTATCCTATGAGTACGGATACAGAATCGCCCTAGGTCGCTTTGGCTCGTGCCCTCCTGGCTCCGAGGTGGAAAGGGATCCGTTCGCCTCTCACCCCGTGGATCTGGAGGTGGACATGCCGGAGGACGTGCCATTCGACGACCGCCCGAAGACCCCAGGAGAGTAGTGAGGGTTGTTTTTGTATGTCGGGGTCGAGGGCGTGAGGGGTTTCTGTGTGGGTTTTGGCTTCTGTATCCCTTCCTTTTTAATAAGATGATCTTTTCTTCCGATTTACGTGTTTGCGTAGTGCCTATGTCTTCAGACGAAATATTTCCTAAGGTTCTGTATGTTCTAAGTCCGGGGCACGGGGTCGCCATCCATTGTTGCGAGTCGGAACGTCCCCGGTCGGGATACTCCGATGACCCGATAGGGTCCCTCCCACTTTGGGGCCAGCTTCCCCCTTACTTGGGTAGGGTGGCTGACTTCGATTTTGCGCAGGACCAGGTCCTCTAACTTTATCGATCGGGGTCGTACGCTCCGGTTGTAGACCCTCGCTACGGCTCTTTTGTAAGAAAGAGCTTTCTGGTGTGCGTTGGCCCGTCTTTCCTCGAGCAGGTCCAGGTTGGATCGGAGCCCTTCGCCCGAGGCTTCTTCGCTGTAGTCTGTCGTCCGCGGAGTCGGGACGGCTACTTCGGATGGTAACACGGCCTCGGTCCCGAACGTGAGGCTATAGGGAGACTCCCCGGTCGGGGTCTTGGGGGTGGTGCGAAGCGCCCACAGGACGCTCGGGAGCTCGTCGATCCAAGCCGATCGGGTAGCGGATACCCTTCTCTTGAGGCCGTCGACGATGGACCGGTTGGTTACTTCAGCTAGCCCATTCGCCTGGGGGTAAGCCACCGAGCTGAACCTCAGCTGAATTTTGTGTTTGGCGCAAAACTCTTGGAACTTTCTGCCGGCGAACTGAGGTCCATTGTCGGTGACGATGGACTGGGGCAGGCCGAACCGAGTTATGAGGTTTCTCCACACGAACCTTTCCACTTGCGACTCCGTAATGGTTGCTAGGGGCTCGGCTTCGACCCATCTGGTAAAGTAGTCCACTCCCACGATGATGTACTTCCGCTGGCCGGAGGCGGGCGGAAGAGGCCCGAGTATGTCCAGCCCCCACTGCGCGAATGGCCAGGCGCAGTCGACGGGGGTGAACAGGACCGCCGGCCGTTGGGCGGTGCGGGCGTGCTCTTGGCACGAGCTGCACCGCCGCACGAAAGCTTTCGCGTCCTGGCGCATGGTCGGCCAGTAGTACCCCTGTCGGAGTACCTTGTGCGCCAGGGCTCGTTCGCCTATGTGTGTTCCCCGCAGGCCCCTTCGTGCATGTCGGACAGAACCGTCCAGGCTTCGCTCGGCTCCAGGCAGCGCAACAAGGGGCGCGAGAAAGACCGCTTGTACAGCCGTCCACCCTCTTCGGTGTACCACGCCTGCGTCCGACGCAAGCGTCGAGCTGTAGTTGCATCGTCGGGCAGGGTCCCGTCCCGCTTGAAGCGTAGCATCTCCTGTACCCAAGTTGCCGACGTGCCGTGAGCGACGGTGGCGACGACCTCTATGGCTCGGCGGGGGAGTTCTTCGGTCTCGGGCCGAGCCCAGGGGGCCGGGCCGGATGCCAGTTTTGCCAGGGTGTCGGCTCGCCGGTTCTCGCTCCTGGGGACATTCGACAATTCAAAATGGGCGAACTTGGCGGCAAGGCTTTTTACCTGTGCCAGGTATTTCGCCATAGTCGGGTCCCGGGCCTCGTATGCGCCGTCGAGCTGCCTAGCCACCAGTTGTGAGTCGGTGATGACGCGTATGTCGGTCACCCGCATTTCCAGTGCCAACTGGAGCCCCGCCAGGAGAGCCTCGTATTCTGCCTCGTTGTTGGTGGCCCTGAACCCGAAGCGGAAGGAGCGCTCAATCGAGCGGCCGTCAGGTGTTACCAGTACCAGCCCTGCGCCGGCGCCTTTTGCGTTGGCCGAGCCATCTACGTGGAGGGTCCACGTGTCACGCGGTGGCTCGAGTTCTTCGCCTGTATTCGGGGTCAGCTCCGCAATGAAGTCTGCCACGGACTGGGCTTTGATGGCGGTCCGAGGTATGTACTGTATGTCGTGCTCGCCGAGCTCCACTGCCCATTTGAGGAGACGCCCTGCAACGTCGAATTTGGACAGAACAAGCCGAAGCGGCTGATCAGTTATTACCTTTATCGGGTGGGCTTGGAAGTAAGGGCGGAGCTTTCGCGCCGACAGGACGAGTGCCAGCGCCAGCTTTTCGATCGGCGGGTAGCGTTCTTCCGGCCCGCTCAGCATGTGGCTGACGTAGTAGACCGGCAGTTGATCGCCGGAATTTTCTTTGACTAGAACTGAACTGACCGCGTGCCGGGAGACGGCAAGGTAGAGACTCAATTTCTCCCCCGGGGAGACCGAAGCGAGTCGAGGGAGGTTGGCCAGGTGTAGCTTCACCCGCTCGAAGGCCCTTTCGCATTCCGTCGTCCATCGGAAGTTCTTCGGATCCTTCAGGGCCTGGAAGAAAGAGTGGCAGCGATCTCCCGATCGGGAGAGAAAACGTGATAAAGCGACTAGCCTCCCGTTAAGGCGCTGCAGGTCTCTAATCGTCCGAGGAGGCTGCATGTTAATGATGGCCTGTATCTTTTCCGGGTTGGCGTCAATCCCTCTCTCGTGTATGATGAATCCGAGGAATTTTCCTGAGGTCACGCCGAAGGCGCACTTGGCGGGGTTGAGGCGCAGGCCGAACTTCCGCAGAGTGTCGAATGTTTCAGCCAGGTCGGAAGGATGAGCCTCCGCCGTTCGGCTCTTTACGATCATGTCGTCGACATACACCTCCATGTTTCGTCCAATCTGGTGGGCGAACATCCTGTTCACCGTCCTCTGGTAGGTTGCCCCGGCATTTTTCAACCCGAACGGCATAACTTTGTAAAAATATATCCCTTGCTCGGTGAGGAAGGCCGTGTGTTCTTGGTCTTCGGGTGCCATCCTGATTTGGTTGTACCCGGAGAAGGCGGCCATAAACGAGAGTCGGGCGTGGCCGGCCGTGGCGTCGACTAGCTGGTCGATCTTCGGCAGGGGGTAGCAATCTTTTGGGCAAGCATTGTTGAGACTGGTGTAGTCAACGCACATCCGCCAGCTTCCATTAGGTTTTTTGACAAGGACTACATTGGAGAGCCACTATGGGTACTTTGCCTCTTCTATGAAACCGGCCGCCAGAAGCCGGTTTACTTCTTCTCGGATGGCCAGTTGCCGATCCGGGGCCTGCCGCCTGGGCCTCTGTTTCACCGGGCGGGCGTCGGACGAGATGTTCAGGTGGTGTAGCGCGACCTCCGGGTGGACTCCCGCTAGGTCAGCTGGCGTCCAAGCGAAGATGTCGGCGTTGGCTTGCAGAAGGCCGACGAGCTGCCGACGTTCTTGTTCGGGTAGTCCCGACCCGATTTTGACTGTTTGGTCGGGCCTTCCTTCGATCAGTGGCAAGTCAATGGTGGATTCCTTCGGCTCGGGGTGGGGGGTCGGTTTTTTTCCCTCCCGGGGGTCTTCCAGCGGGGATTGGACCCTCGCTCTCTTGTTTAATGACACAGCGGTCAAGTAGCAGCGCCTGGACTCCCAGGAGTTCCCCGCCACTTCCTCGACCCCATCGTGGGTCGGGAACTTGATGGTTTGGTAGTAAGTTGAGATGACGGCTCGGGTCTTGTTGAGGGTTGGCCGTCCTAGGATGGCGTTGTATGCCGTGGGGAGGTCGACCACCAGAAAGGAGGTCATCACCGTTTTTGCCTTCGGGAAGACTCCCAAAGTTAGGGGCAGGGTGATGACCCCTAGTGACGAGATTGAGGCGCCGGTGAACCCCGTGAGTGTTGAGCATACCGGCTTCATGTTCTCCTTTACCAGGCCGAGCTTTTGGAAGGCGTCCCAATAAAGTATATCGGCTGAGCTTCCAGTGTCGACCATGATCCTCCTCACTTGCGCGTTGGCAATTCTGGCTGATATCACCAACGCATCATCATGTTCGGCTGGTTCAGGTTCCCCGGTCGGGAAGGTGACTTCGGGGCCTTTTTCAGGTTTGGAAGCTTCAGCCCGGGAGGCCCTGGCCTATGCCCTTCCGCCCGCCATGGAACTTCCTCCGGACGCTGGCCCGCCGGTTATGACATCTATGTGCCGCTCGATGGGGCCCTCCGGACGTGGCGAGAGCTCCTTATCTGGTCGGAGGTATGAGCCGAGGTGCCCTCGGCGGATGAGCTCCTCAATTTGCCTTTTTAATTCTCGACATTCCTCGGTGTCGTGACCGGGCTGTCGATGGAAACGGCAGTATTTAGAGCGGTCCGCGAGTTCGCGCGGGCTCCTCATCGGGTAGGGGTCTTTTAGAAGGCCTTTCTCCTTAATATGGAGAAATATTTCGGTCCGAGAGGAGTTCAGGCCTGGGGGAGGGGACCTAGGTACCGTATCGTTGAGGCCGCCGGCCCTGCGCCGGGAGGTAGCGGGCTGTTGTTGTTGGGACTGTTCTGGCTTGACCCTTTTGCGCTCGTCGCGCTTCCCGACCATCCATGCCTCGGCCGCAATGTATTGGTTCGCACGCTGCAACATTTCGGGAACCGAAGTGGGGGGTCGCTCCACCAGAGACCAAAAGAATCGGGTAGGGCGTAGGCCCATCATGAATGCCTGCATCATCAAAGAAGGGTGAGCATCAGACAACCCGCGGATTTGTGTGGTGAAGCGGTTCACAAAGTGAGAGAGGGGCTCGTCCTCCCTCTGGTGGAGCCCGAGGAGCATCGCCACCGACGGTTTCGGCTTGGCATGAGCCAGGAAGTTAAGCTCAAAGTCCCTGGCCAACTGGTCGAAAGAGGCGATGGTCGCGGTCTTCAGATTGCTGTACCACGCTCGGGCCGGGCCCCGCAGGGTTGTCGGGAACGCCCTGCACATCAGGGCGTCGGACGTCCCGTATAGCGCCATTTGGGCGCGGAAAGCAGCCACGTGGTCCGCCGGATCAGTGGCACCCTCATAGGCATCTAATGACGGGAGCCGAAAG